AGCAGCGCAACAGGAGCTTGCAGGACAGGCAGGCCTAGGCGTAAAATTCTTGGTTTACCTACTATTCTTGAATAATATTCTTATATTTTCTAACATTCAGGCTGCTAGAGCCCTAGCAAAGAATCTTAACTTAGTGTCTTAGCAAGGAACATTAAGCTTAAAACCTTCTATACTTAATAACTATTCTATTACTAGGCCTATAATGTTATTTAATAGCTTATTTTAAAGAGGAGACATAGTAGTATATTAATATAATAAAAGTATAGTTTATTAAGCAGAGCTACTATTATAGCAGGATTAGGAGTTATTGTGGCTATTGCAGCTGTTAGGACTGTTAGAGCTGTTAGCTTGAAATTAGCTAGACATTGAATGCACATTAAATAACTATTGTAGGCCTACAAGTCCTACTGTTGCCCACAGTACAATGCCACGATTTCCCAATTTCGACAACAGAAAAACTTTTCCCGATGTAGTAGTATATTAATATAATTAAAGTATAGTTTATTAAGCAGAGCTACTATTGTAGCAGGATTAGGAGTTGTTATAGCTATTGCAGCTGTTAGGACTGTTAGAGCTGTTAGCTTAAAATTAGCTAGACATTGAATGCACATTAAATGACTGTTGTAGGCCTACAAGTCCTACTGTTGCCCACAGTATAATGCCACAATTTCCTAATTTCAACAATGGAAAAACTTTTCCAGATGTAGTATATTGCTGCAGTGCGTTGCACGCTTAGTGTCGCGTCTTGCTAGATAGTCTAGAGGGTAAGCTGTATATCTGTTCTATTTAAAGGCTTTTTTACATTATTGCGTTGAGGCATTACAGGGAGAGTGAAGTTTGGTGTAGTCTTGGCAAAAGTGGCCAGCTCGCTTGGGTGGCCAGCTCGCTTGTGGAGTACGTTAGAGTCTATACCTGTTGCCTATTAAGATGTGAGCTGATCGCAGTGACAGTAGAGTAAGCAAGTAACCCAGCTTTCAGAGCAAGGATTTGAGGCAACTGCAGATGCGAAATTCTGTACCATAAGTCGCTATTTGAGCGGCTGGATAGCAGTATTGGCAGTGCTCTGGCGCCTAAAAACCTTATACAATAGGCTTCTACGCCTACAGCTGCGCCTCTGCGCTCACAGCTAGCGCGATTGCGTACCTAGCCAACAAGCCTGTGGTGGCTGGCAGCAGCAGCTAACTCCGCTGCAACCAGCTCCTCTACAACCGCCACAGCAGCCATGAACAGTAGCCATCTAGATAAGCCAGCAGCTGTGGGTGACTCCACAAGTAACCCAACAGTTATAGTAGCAGTTAGTTCCTTCACAGGCGCCTCTGCTGTACTACAACACCACGCCAAGGCCGTCACAGGCAGCAAGCAACTACAACAATAGCTTTAGATTTGCAGTGCCTGCGCGTAACCATAGGTACGCAGGCAGGTCAACTTTGTATAAGCCACACTCAACTGTACTTACAACACTAAAAAACTAATTCCTATCAACAAATGCAACATTGTTGTGAAATCGTGCTATCAGACTCCTCCAGGCGGCTCGGCGTATCAATCTATAGACTTATTACAGTACAAAAGAGATCCGTTACACGCCTCCAGAGAGTGCCCGCAAACTTAACCTCATTCAGTTATCGGGGTGCACGTTAGAGTTATCGGGGGTATATTAAGGATTCCCTTGCAAAAGGCGTTGCAGGCTCGTATTGGTATTTGCAACCTGTTCTGGCCTTGGTACAAAATACTGCTGCACCAAGACCAGCCGCAGGAGTGAGTAGGTCATATGTCATTCATTCGACGATGTATGAGGTGCTCATGGCTACACCATTTGATTCTTTTGTTTGGAGTCGCGTTTTCTCTATCGTAGGATGCAGTGTGAGGTGACCGCGTGCTTCGTTGCCACAGCTTCAGCGTCAGAGTCTAGGGGTCAACTGCAAATGTGCGCGTCGAGTGTACGGCAGGGTCGAGAGATCTAAGTGAGCAAGACGCTCCATCCTTTGAGAAATGTCCTGCTGTCCGCTGTCATGTTGTAGCATCAGGAAGTCCGCACAAATCTAGGGATGAATTGGTTAACAAGGAACAAATTTTCCACCACAGGAGGGCGCGCCTGGCGCGAGTTTGGGGCCTTGGCACGTGCGTCAAATTCAAACTTCCGCGCGCGATCAGCATTAGTTATAATCAATTGTCGAACAGCCATCATTTCTCATGTCTTCGCTATTTGCCGATACCACGAGCCCTCAAATTGCGCGAGCGTCTCGCGCCTGCGATGCGTGCCGACTTAGGAAAACGCGTTGTGACGTAAATGCCGACGTGAACCAAACGAAAAATATTTGCACGCGGTGTCAGCGCCTGCAGCTGCAGTGCACTTTTGAACTGACGGTCGGTCGGAGAGGTCCAAAACGGTAGGTCTCAGATTTGCTTTTATTGCCAGAAGGGTCTGCCTCGTGGTAAATTCATTGTAGTCTTTTTGATTCTGTACAGTCCCAGACTACTGGTTGTTCCGAAGCTACTTACCGAGGAGCTTTGTTCTTGGATTGTGAGAGGCTTCAGCAAGGTGGATGTCTTATTACACGTCTCAAAGAAATCAAATTGGCAGCTCGCAGCTAATGATTACATGGTAGCAAGCGGAGACAAGACGATGCTCCATCGGATCCCAGTCCAATCAGGAGCGGATCCTCTGTTGTGCCCTCCATAAGCCTCATTCCATCTGGCACTTTTCAGCAAGACACATTCCGCACTGACAGCATTTGTTCTCGACCACTTTTTCGAACTATGGTGAACGACTTCCTCACGTATATCTACCCGTTGATACCTGTCGTTCACCGACCGTCGTTTTGCTTCGCTTTGAATGAAGATCGCGACAACGACAACGACGATTTTTTGGGTCTTATCATCGCTATTTGCGCAATCGTAGTCGCATTACTTCCCAGCAAGTATGAGAGTTACTGCAGCCTTGACACATCACTGGTTTCATCGCGTGCTGAAGTGCTAGATCGCTGTTACGACTGCCTCATCGCTCTGCGTGGGCCAGAGTTCTTCGAAAAAATTGGCTTCAGCAAGTGGGCTGCATCATACCTCATGTGTATCGCCTTCTTCCAGGTTGGCAAGCACAATCGTGCGCGCATGATCGAGGTCGAGAGTATGCAGCTTGGACGATTGCTCAACCTCCACCGCACTGATGAGTATCAGGAACTGGACTGTATCGAAACACAACTACGAAGAAAAGGCTTCTGGCTTCTATTCTACGGCCACGTACACTCAGAGGTACAGAACTTTCGCAAAGAAAAGCTCTCCTTTCTGAACCACGCCACCATTGAGACAATGAATCTAAAGGCTTTGATGCCTCTCGAAATCGAAGACGAACAGATCTTCAAGCATGAAATTGTCGCCTCACCACCATCAGAGGTGAATATGACAACGGGCTTCATCATCCATTCCCGCATCTTTTGGCAAGCCATCGAAGACCCCCGCGACAATACCAGGACTGAGTGCTTGTGCTGTCGCAACCGTTCGGCTGCGGTACAAGTGGCGCACCTTGAGCGGCGACTGAGAGACTTGAAATATGCCTTGGACGATGCTCCTATGCCCTTTCGGCAATATGCTTTGCCAAGCGACGATGCTGCTGCACATACCTTCTCACACTCCCAACTGGCTACCATACGCGTAAACATACACGTCACCCACCTATGGCTTCAGAGCATGTTACTGGACCAACTGGATTTGCTCACATCGCCCGAGCAGCACTGGCATGAGCGTGAAGACATATCGACCCAGCTCCTCCATGTACTGCACAACACCTCTCAAGCAGACATCGAGCCGAACGGCCTTCATTTGGTCTATAAAGTGCGCGATGTGGCGGTCGGGCTACTCGCATGCCCGTACGAGGCACCTGATCCCTCGGCAAAACGAGCCCAGGAGTACGTCAGGGCATTCACCGATATTCTGGCTCGCGTCGACGCTAGCGAGACAGTCAACACTGCTAATCTTCAGAGTTGGATTGATACGGGGCGACAAAACGTTTAATTATGTAGCAAAACCTCTTACAAACTTGGCAACAGTAGGTAACATCGGAATTGAACCTCGGAACACAATGCTGCACACGCAGCCTCGGTACCATCGCTCCCGCGGCAATCGTAGTCAATGACCCAGGAACAATTAACGCACCTTGCGAACACATTTTACCTAGATAACAGCCTTTCTGTCTACCGTGCCAATACGCTGCGCGCAGCTATTTATATTTTCGGAACACTAACACTAGACACCAACTAATAGCGCTCCCTACAGCAGTTCGATCCACGTAGGAACCAGTCAACGGCCCTATCAGGCGTTGACAGTGTGTGTGGAGATGCTCGAGTTGGGCTGTCCAAAACGTTACACAGCGGATCCATTTTCTTAAACCGCCTCCCAAGACGAACAAAACCCCGCTGGCTTACACCATGACATTACACTTTCTCCTCGTGTGCGGTCCAAACATCCTTTCCCTTCTCTGCGACCGAGTCGATACTTGACGCTCTTGCGGCTGTCTGCTCCGAAGGGGGTGCGGTGTCGTCGCCATCGAAGATGACTGCCATGTGCTCCAGAGTGTAGCCACGAGTCTCCGGATAGAAGAAGTATACGGTGAGTCCCATCGCGATTAGGACAACGATGAACACGAAGTAGTACTTCCAGCCGATTGCTTCAAGGGCAATGGGGTTCACAAAGGTATTGAAGAAATTGGCGACCACGACTGTGATCCAGGTGACAGTCAGACCATGAGAGCGAAGCCTGTATGGCCAGATCTCGCACGGGTATGCAGTCAGGAAAGGTGTACTGGATGAAGCTGATCAGCACGTGCCTTTCGAGTAAGAAAGCAATGAAACTTACAGAGCGATATCGTAGCCAGCGAAGAAGATGAAGAGGAAGGGAATGACAGCGATGCCGGTTGAAGGGCTGCCTGATTCTGCAAATGCACCGCTGAGGGCTGTGACGAGGATGTACGCTACAAGCATGACACTCGCTGAAGCCAGGAAGAGTGGGCGTCGTCCGAGCCTGTCGACGCTGAGTGCAGCCCCCACTGCAAAGAGAAGGTTCCAGACTTGGAGCAGGCCTGCGATCAAGGTCTGATCTGTGACACTCGTGATTCCTACGGTCCTTAGGACAATCGCAAGATAGTAAGACACGACGCCGTTACCGCACCACTGCGAGAATATTCCAAGGGATACCGATATGAAGAAACGGCGTCGATTGCCCGGTGTGCTGAACAGCTCCATGTAGCTCGCGTCCTTCAGCGTCGACTCAAGGCGTATTGCAGCAGTGATCTCGACCATCTCGTATTCGACCAAGGCCGATGTGGGATCGCCGCCAGCGTGGGAGGTCGTCAGGATCGTACGGGCCTAAAATCATCGTCAGAAGGACTCACTTGACAACTGCGATGACTTACCTGCTCGCTTCTATCAACAGAGACAAGCCATCGAGGACTTTCTGGAGCCATCAATAGACCAGGCAGTGCGAGGAAGGGTAGTAGCAACTGCATGACAGATGGAATTCGCCACGCCCAGTCACTTTCAACGTTGCGGGTGCCGAAAGTGACAAACGCGGCGATGGTGCCCCCCACGTACCAACCGCACATGAAGAGAGCACTCAAGATGCCTCTGTACACTGGATGAGAGACCTCATTGATGAGGAGAGGAACTGCGTTGCCGAACCAGGCGGAAGCGCAACCAACGAGCAACCGAGACAGCACGAACGCAATATTGTTGTCGCTCAAGACAAGCAAGGATCCCGCAAGCAGAAAGATGTATCCAATGTAGACACCAGGCTTCCGTCCAAACTTGTTTGCCACGAAGGCTGTCAAGGGGTAAGACAGTCCCATTCCCAACCAGTAGATAGCGTTCAGGAAACCCAACCAGGCACCGGTGGGTGTGTCCATGAACGACTCCCATTGAGGCAGAGCCTGTAAGCCGTTCATGAGGCTTCCATCGTAACCGTTCGCAGAAGCTTGACGCATGTCAGTTGATGTAAAGGAGAATCCTGGAGACACTCACAGAACAGCATCAGCGACAAGATGCAAAAGTGCAACTTGATGAGATGAGGCTTCGTGTACCATGGTTTGCTATCAGGCAATACGGCTAGCAGCTCATCGTTCAGCCCAGGGGCACGCGATTGCGACTTAGAAATACCCATGGCGATGCGAAAGGGGCTGATAGCCTGATTAGTGATGTAGAAGCAGTTGTCTGTCGGTTGTCCGCGCAGCACGTCCTTATATATGGTCGTCTGATGGACGATGGCAGGTTAAGGTTGTCACGATGTATCGTATTCGACAGCCCCCTTGTCCTCTAAGCGACTACCGACAGAGTGTTTGCGCGCGTGGAGTCCCCAGAATTTTGAGATCACGCGAAAATGCGGAGGGCGAGCGACGATTGCGTAGTAGCGTGTCGGTGAATCGGGAAATCCCATTTAGTGCAGCTCTGTGAGTGGATAACCACGGAGAAACACAAATGATGAGGCATTCAGAAGAGATTTTGGCGTCGGTTGCGGCTCATTTCGTTCTTGGCAACTTCCAGTCGGCCCACTGTAACATCAGCTATGCTAACGCATCGGGTCAATACTCAACATGCCCCGCCAGTCATGCGGCGGTGAGGCTATGTCCGATCGGATTGCGTGGGAGCTCTGGAGTAGTGTTCATATAGCACGGGCTTGTCGTGGTTGCTTGCACCGGCCAGTCCGCCCTCCCCGACAAACGCAACTCCATCACCATGGCGCCTTTCCTTGACGAAAGAACATCTCACGAGCAATCGACGCCATTTGCGCCATTCGATGTCGAAGAAGTTCTTCTGCAGCTGAATATTGACGAGAAAGTGTCGCTCCTATCTGGTATGATCTTTGCTGGATTTACAACGCGTCGCTCATAGCACCAGGCAAGGACTTCTGGCACACACGCGACATACCTAGGCTGTCCATTCCTTCCATACGACTATCAGATGGTCCCAATGGCATTCGAGGCACTAAGTTCTTTGGCAGCGTGCCTTCTGCATGTCTTCCATGTGGCACAGCCATAGGCGCCACGTTCGACGCGAATCTCGTCGTCAAGATCGGCCATCTGCTGGGCGACGAGGCTCGAGCAAAGGGAGCACACGTCGTCCTTGGACCCACAGTCAACATTCAGCGAGGGCCTTTAGGCGGTAGAGGATTCGAGTCTTACTCCGAGGACCCGTTTCTATCTGGCATGCTTGCAGCAAGCTACATCAATGGCCTGAGAGACAAGACTGTAGGCGCTGCTATCAAGCACCTTGTCTGCAATGATCAGGAACATGAGCGGATGGCAGTCAACACCGTTATCACTCAACGTGCGTTGAGAGAGATCTATCTCCTGCCGTTCATGCTCGCGACAAAGTTCAGCAACCCAGCAGCAATCATGACTGCGTACAACAAAGTCAACGGCCTACACGCTGCGGAGAACAGAAACATTCTGAAGGATATAGTGAGGAACGAATGGAAGTGGGATGGACTCTTCGTGAGCGACTGGTAAGCCCATTCCGTCCCCTCCCCCCGGACGATTGTTGCACAGTTCTGACAGCTTTGCAGGTTCGGCACCTACAGCACAAGTGAAGCAGTCCAAGCTGGTCTCGATCTAGAGATGCCAGGTCCATCACGATGGCGGGGGCCTGCACTCGTCCATGCGGTGTCGGCCAATAAGGTACTGTCCTCCGAGCTTGACGAGCGGGTACGCGCAGTCTTGCAGCTTGTCAAGAAGTCTGCACATGCGGGTATCCCTCAGAACGCTCCGGAGACTCAGTTGAATCGACCGGCCGACCGACGTCTTCTCCGAAAGGTAGCCGCGGACTCAATCGTGCTTCTCAAGAATCAGGACAATGTTTTACCTTTCTCCCGCGATCGCAGAGTCGCTGTCATCGGTCCAAATGCCAGGGTCGCTACTTACTGTGGTGGCGGCAGCGCATCACTGAATGCATACTACACAACCACGCCACTGGAGGGCATCGAATCGCTCGCGACGGGCGGTGTAGAGTTTGCCCAAGGCGCATATGGCTTTCAGATGTTGCCAGAACTCGGAAAGGAGCTCACTGTAGACGGGAAGCCCGGTTTCAAGCTGCGCTTCTTCAATCACCCGCCGACGAACACGAAGAGGATCCCGCTTGAAGAACGAACACTGGTCGACTCTAACATCTTCTTCCTCGACTACGATCATCCAGATCTCGAAGAGATATGGTACGCCGAGGCTGAAGGCGTGTTTACTCCAACGGAATCTGGGACTTATGACTTCGGCCTTTGCGTGCAAGGGACCGGATGTCTGTACATTGACGGCGAGCTCCTCATTAGGAATGTTGAGAACCAGAGGCCTGGGCCTAGCTTTTTGGGTTCTGGGACCCTCGAAGAGACAAGCGCAAAGAGTCTTGTAGCGGGTACATCGTATCAGATCACTGTGCAATGGGGCTGTGCAAAGACAAGCACAAGGAAGACACCTGGGACAGTTGACTTTGGTCACGGTGGGCTGCGTTTTGGTGGTTGTCTACGCATCGACCCCGAGAAAGCAATTGATGCAGCAGTACGCCTCGCGCGTGATGTTGATCAAGTGGTCATCTGTATCGGACTCGGTCCTGAGTGGGAGTCTGAGGGCGAAGATCGCGGATCAATGGATCTGCCACCGAATACAGACAAGCTCGTCGAACGGGTCCTGGACGCCAACCCAAATACGGCCATCGTGGTTCAGTCTGGTACACCTGTCGCAATGCCTTGGAGCGACAAAGCAAAGGCGATCCTGCATGCCTGGTACGGTGGTAACGAAGGAGGCAATGGTATCGCGGATGTTCTGTTCGGCTCTGTGAACCCTTCGGGGAAGTTGCCTCTGACTTTCCCTCGTCGTTTGAAGGACAACCCGACATATCTCAACTATCGATCCGAGGGAGGTCGCGTGTTGTATGGTGAGGATGTCTACGTGGGCTATCGGTTCTACGAGCAGACTGAAGTGGCACCACTCTTCCCATTTGGACATGGCTTGTCGTACACGACCTTCTCGCTGTCCGATTTGAAGCTCGAAATGAACATATGCAGCGACCTGTTGAGCGTGCGCTGCACCGTTACCAACACGGGCTCTAGAGCCGGTGCTGAGGTGGTGCAACTTTACGTAGAGCCTGTCTCGCCACCGATCCGTCGGCCATTGAAGGAGTTAAAGGGGTTCGCGAAGCGGCATATTGGCCCACGCGAGAGTGTCGACGTGGAAATCACCATTGACCTTCTTCGGGATACAAGCTTTTGGGAGGAGAAGGAGGGACGATGGTGCAGCTATGCCGGGACTTACAACATTGTCGTTGGAACAAGCAGCGCTGGATGCCACCTCTTGGGTTCAATCGTATCACCGAAGACAAGGTATTGGCTGTTGTAGAATAACTTCAAGTCTTGTTACACAAATACTCTTCTACTAACGTACTTCACGGGTAACGTGTTGGATAAGCGAGTCGGCCACCCTACTACCTTTCTGCACTCCTACACGTGTATATCTCAACCACCTTATAAAGACAACAGATAGACATTAATGGAGTAGATTAAGCAGCATCTAAAGTATCTTCCTTGCACGCACAAGAGTTATGCACAGTCTCTCTGCACCTCTTACAGCGCGCAAGAGCCTGGCGGCTAACACCTAATTTGTAACGGTTGAGAGGAGAAGCGGATCACGTGTTGTTGGCCACGTGTTGTTGGCGGTGGTCTGGTGTTACTTCCTCATGTTGTTAAGCACCTCTTACCTCAGCTGCGTCACAAAGACGTCATCAAAACAAACCCCACAGCAAGCCTTAGAGAACAAAGATACAAGCAACAACAACAACAGAACACAATACACTTAATATATACATTTGCTCTTTATACTGCAACAGTTATAAGCCTAGATTGCAACTAGTTAGCTCGCTCACTTACAACAACTAATAGGCACCTATAATTAAGATTAACAATTAATTATACTATATAGAGCTGCTAACCTACTAATTAGTACTAATAATTAAGATTATAATTAATTATAACCTAAACTATCACCGAGTGTCCCACATCACTGAGTGTCCCAAAACTTGCCAAGCCCTCTACCTACTCTCTCTCTCTAACATGCCTCAACTACCAAACGCGTTATTACTTGAACATGAAGGGAGGCTTTAGCTTGCTATTAAAGCCTTGAAATCTAGACAATTCTAAAGCCACTGGGCTGCTGCAGAGGCATTTAACGTTGATCGCCGTACACTCTCTTATTGCGTCCAAGGACTCACATTTCGCGTAGAAGCTGCCCCTAACTGCTAGAAGCTCACTGCGACTGAACAGCAGACAATTATCTGATACATACTTAACCTCAACTTGCGAGGATTTGCGCCCTAGCTGTGCGAGGTGGCAGATATGGCTGATAAACTGCTAGCTGTACGCGGTGGCAAGCCTATTAGCAAGTGCTGGGCTGATCGCTTTGTAACGCGCTCGCCTGAGCTTAAAATGGCCTTCAATCAAGCAAAGGATAGGCAGAGAATACTCTAGGAGGATCTAGAGATAATTAGCGCGTGGTTTAAGCTAGTAGAGGAGACTAAAGCCAAGTATAGCGTCCACAATAACAACGTGTACAACTTTAATAAGACTAGCTTCTAGATAGGCGTGATTAGCTCTATAAAGGTCGTCACAGGTGCAGAGAGACGCGCGTGACCTGCGCTTGTTTAGCCAGGCGATCGCGAGTGGGTTACAGTTATCCAGAGCATCTGCGCTGCTAGGTACGCGACCCCACCCTTCATTATCTACAAGGGACACGTCCATATCTCTGCCTAGTACAAGGAGGCTTTAATACTGCGTAATTAGAAGCTCTTAGTCTCTAAGAATAGCTAGACAAACAACACACTTAGTCTAGAGTAGTTAAAGCACTTTAACACGCATATAAAGACGCGCTAGGTAGGGGGGTACTAGCTGCTTATTTTAGACAGCTATAAGAGCCACCTTAACTAGCATTTTAAGGACTACTGCCTTAAACACAAGATCCTAACCCTCTGTATGCCCCCCTATTCATCGCACATCCTCCAGCCGCTTGATGTGGTCTGCTTCTCGCTGCTGAAGCGCAGGTACTCCTAGCGCGTCAGAGACTTGGCACGCCAACACGTCTTCTATATTAACAAAGAAGGCTTCCTCCCTGCCTTTAAGGACGTGTTTTTTAATATATTTATAGAGCAGAACTATTAAAAGGCTTTTAAGGCAGCAGGGCTAGTCCTAATTAACACGCAGGTTGTATTAGATTGCCTTAAAGTGCAGCTGCGTACCCTGCTAGAACCCCTCCTCCTAGAGACACTATAGCAGTTAAAGACTCTAAGCAATACCTATAAGTTTAGATCTTAATTAAAGCTTGTACGCAATTCCTTTACTTACTTGCCTATTACAGCTTAGGCGGGTTTCTCCCAGCTTATAAAAGGTGGTGAGCTAATGCTGTATAAAAATGTGCTTTAACGTGCTCAGATCTATGAGCTTGAAGAGCAATTAGCAGAGATAACTAAGCGAAAATTGCGTAAGCGCAAGCGGATTCAGCAGGGTGGTACTATAGAGTATGGGACTGCTGCAGCGCAGGTAGCTGCTGAGGCATCTATAGCGCCTCAGCGATCTAAGAAGGCTTGTGGTAGTAGTAGTCAAGAACTAGCCTAACTAGCTCTTCAGCGCTATAGGAACTACGGTAGGACTAGGCATAATGCGCGAACATGTAAAAAGGATATAGAGGAGTCCTTAGAATTAGATGCTAGTACAACGTACACAGGCTCCCTATTTAATAGTAATAAAATTAAGGAGTTGTAGCATAGGTTGAGGCTACCAAGAGATTTTGGGACACTTGGTGATGTGGGACACTTGGTGATAGTTTAGGTTACTATATAGAGCAACTTATAATAACTACTAAGTTAGACCCTATAGTTACCTTAGTAATAGTTGTCCTTAATTAAGCTAATAACTAGTATAAGTAGCTATTTATACAAAAAGATACTGTGTAGAAGAATAAGCTCTAGTAGTATGTTAACCCTGCTACAAAGGTAGTAATCTTGCCTGTGTTAATAGCACTAATTAAACCTTAATTAATAGATTACAATAATAATGCTATATTACTTGCTTATCTTACTACTGCACAGTAGAAGCTGTACTAATAGGAGTATAAGTAATAGGAGCGTAAGGATATTAAGTTTAGGTGTTAGAAGAAGGCTCTTACTAAGTTTAACTCTAAGATTAGTAAGATAATTACTATAAAGCATCTTTACTTAATTAAGAGTAAGGACACGCTATATAAGTAGTTAACAACACTTAAGAAGCATCTTGTACTATCTAATGTATTATAACAACGTAATCTAATTACATAATACAAATCTCTCTAGACACTACCACGCAGCAGGAAGATTAAGGAGTGGCTTTGCTCCTAGGTAGAGGTTACTGATATATATATCTCTGCAGAGATTCCTAAGACAACAGGATTAAGAGCACAGGAGGACTTCCTTGTTGCATGCAGAACAATTAATCTAGAATACAGCACATCAGGCCTGCGAGCTCTGATTAATCTTAAGGACGCTAGCACAGCTATTCTATCTGTGGAGGACTACGTTAGCAAATTCACCACTTACCTTAAGTGTGTGTGACTGCTTTTAACAGGACTTAGCTCTATGGCAGCAGAGCTTAATATTGCAAAGCCTTAGCAGCAGAACAAGGATAGTAATATAATTAAGCTGTAACACAAGCTGCAATGCCTATATAGTCTACAGCACTACTAGGTTAACTGCTAGTTAATTAATACAGAGTATCTACAAAGACCTAAGGCCTTTGCTAACGCAATTAGCTAAAAGAAGCTTAATGCTGCCCTAGCTACAAATAATTACTTAAGAGACAAGCTTAACAAGGCGCTTAATAAGTAGCACGCAAAATAGCAAGAGAATAGAGGCAGTATTGCTATAGAGAATAGTAACTATCCTACTAGACATACAGCTAACACTGTACAATATATAAATCACAAGCAAGAGCTACATGCTTAGACTAATAAGCAAGTTAATATAAAAGCTTATAATAATATAAAAGAGAAAGACAACCTCTACATAGTAGTAAATATAGAAAAGGATATTAGTAAGCTTAGCAACTAATTAATTCTTAACCCTAGCTCTAACACTTATATAATTAACACTAAGAACTAGAAGAGATGGACAAGAGAGTACAACATAGCTACTACTGACTTTGTTAGAGCTAGAACAGGACGTGTTCAGATAACAGCCTGGGGAAGCATGGAGCTTATAGCAAATACACTAATAGGTGTACAACTACTAAAGCTTCCTCACGTTGCTTACGTCTAAAGCTTTGTTACAAGCCTAATTAGCATAGTGCGCTATAGGAAGCTTAATATTTACTTTAATTTAGGACGTAATCTCCTGTACAAGGGCAATCTAGGATTAGTTCTTGCCTACTTAGAGTATAATAGAGGGCACTAGCTAGTAGACGCTAATGCCTTATGTTATCTAAGCTAGACTTTACTATTATCTTTTAGCACAACCTACTAACCTTTAAAGGCTCTACACCTAGATTAAATAGTTAATACTAGGATAACTTATTACATGTAGGGTTATCCTAGTAAGAAAGTAATTAAAAAGCTTACCTTAAATATTAATAGACTTATTATAGAAGGTAACGTACTCTATCACCGAGCCAGTCATATCACCGAACCAGTCACTTAAAATCCCACCAAAAAACACAGAAACTATACCCCTGCATCTTAATAACTACTTAATGGAATCTTCTAAAAACTTTAGAATAGAGCTGTATCTATACTAATAAGACTGTTTAAAAGTCTTAGAGTGCTTAGCCCTATATTGCAGATGTTGTTTAGAAGATACTGAAATACAGGGGTAGCTGCAGGCTATCTCAACATCTATACTAGCTATTAGTCTAAGACTTTTAAATAGTTTTATTAGTATAGATGCAGCTCTATTCTGAAGTTTTTAGAAGATTCCATTAAGTAGTTATTAAGATGCAGGGGTATAGTTTCTGTGTTTTTTGGTAGGATTTTAAGTGACTAGTTCGGTGATATAACCGGCTTGGTGATAGAGTACGTTAATAATAATAAATTCTATACTGTCTATATAGAGTTAAAGCTAATAAAGTAGATATCTTAAAGATAATAGGAAGACTAAGCTTAGAGGCCCTTCTATTAAATCTCTATTAATATTATCTAATTAATACCTTAAGGAGAAGCCTACTTAAATAGTAATTAATAGGCTAGACACTCTATTAATAAATATTTAAAATAGCATAAAGTATTAACCTTCCTATAGTAATTAAAACTACTCCTAAGTTAATAGTTAATTTAAGATGTACACAGTATATAGTAAGTGTGTAACTACAACGTAACAGCTATTAAGATAGACAATAACTATAGATATAGCACATTACTAAACTTCCTACAGGAACTCTGTAAAGACCTTGGTATTTAATATGAGCCACAAGCAGAGTACACAGAAGAACAGAACAGACTAGCAGAGTGAGCAGGATCGCTGCTTGTCATCCAAGCTAGAGCCATGAGGATTTA